TTCTCTAGGCTAAACAACCCCAGCTCTCTCAGCCGCTTCTCATAAGAATTGTTCTCTAGATACCTCACCAGCTTCTTGGACCTTCTCTGGACACGCTCCAGCGTGACTTTTTTGTAGTGATGGGCCCAGAACTGAACACAGTATTTGAGGTGGGGCCTCACCAGTGCTGAGTACAGGGGGACAATCACTTCCTGAGTCCTACTCACCACACTGTTCCTGATACAGGCCAGGATGCTGTTGGCCTTCTTGGCCACCTGGGCACACTGCTGGCTCATATTCAGCCAGCTGCCGACCAACACCCCCAGGTCCTTCTCTGCCAGGCAGCTCTCCCAGCCGCTCTTCTCCAAGCTTGTAACACTGCATTGGGTTGTAATGTAATGTGATACCAGTTCTTTCAGAGAGGAAGAGAAAGAGCAATGAAATTCTTGCTAGCCACATGCAAGATTTTTTCCATAATTCAAAATGAATTTTTAAGCCCCAAAAGAAGAGAATGAAATAAGTAGCAACCAGTAAAAATTTGTGAAGTTCATCCACTCAATGAATAGGAATTTTTCAGTAACCAATCACGTCAAATCAATTTCCCATCCTTTTAAAACAGGGTAACTGCACACAAGTAAAGTGAGAAAATGGTAGGTCATAGGTATTCTGACCATTTGACACCGTGTTGCACTGTCTTGAATGACCATCTCAGCATTGTTTAAGGCCTGAGCTGAGTATTATGTCAGGTTTTGGGCCACCAAACTCCTAGAAAGACGCAAAGTAGTTAGAGTCCAAGGGAGAATAACGGGGTCACAACAACATGACATATATGAAAAATTGGAAGAGGTGTATTGTATTTCTTTCTCTAGAATAAAGGAGACTGATGGACCATGAGAACAGCCTTTGATTTTATTTGCAACAGCCCTTTACGGGAATTATTTGTTTTCTCTTGTAGATAGAACAAATTTGCTCTGGCAAATTCAAATTAGGCCTTTGGAAAAAGCTTTCTGACTTTAAAGTTGGTAAAACTGATTTTTTTGTGAGGGCTGTGGAGTCTTCGTCACTGAAAATGTTTAAGAACGGGTTTAAGAGGAACATCTCTCATAAATTTAACCTGCCTAGAGAAGGCAGAGACCTCCCAGGGGAGTTTTATTTTCCAGTGATTCCCAGACATAAAGTTGAATGTCTGTAAGCTACAGTTTCTGTGCCATCCAAAGTAGGAGATGTGTTTACAGCGCAGCAGAGTATCCATGTGTTACCTACCATGGGTAGCAGCAGCAATGCAGGCGATACACCATTGGTTGGAAGCTGAAATGTCTAGCCAGGATTCCTAGTATGCTCTGGTTTTACTCACGCCAACTAACATTATTCTTTGTCACCTGTGCTGCAGTCAATATCCACCTGTGGAAATGCAGACTGGTATTAAATTTAAATAACTTTTTTTTTACCAAGTCCTTTACTATCCTTGTGTTTTCTCTATTCATATGCAGCTTTCTAAGGTTGATGGCAAGTAATGATGAAATTTAGCTTAGCAGAAAGTTTTGCCTGAATATAAAATCTTTTTGAATTGTGATTAGTGTTTCCAGAGTCCCAGGTAAATTAGAGCATTTAGCTTTTCCATTGTTTCAGAACTTATTATTGAAGTATCTAAATGTTCAAGAAAATGAAAATGCACAAATGGGTGTTAGTTGAATGGATGTAGTAAGATTTTCTGGCATGAAATGCACAGTATTTATGACTTAATTTAATTGGAGAAGAAAAATATTGAGTAGGTGACGAAGTAAAAATGATGACTGTATATTATATTTTTGCCATGCAGCTGAACAAACACATTCAATGACAGACTTTGGCAGGAGCTGCAAAGATGTTCTTGACAATGGCATGAATAAATATTAGGTGCTGTACACAATTCGTTGCATTCCAGGCCTTGAGCAAAACCAGGTGAGCTTTGCCTGGAAAATGTGAAAGAAACAATGTAAGCATGTTAGGAAAATGTAAACATCTACAGTATTCTCCCCAGCTGCATTGCTGTAACATTTTCATTTGCATCAGCAACAACTCTGTCATTTTTTATCTGCTCTACTTTCATTGCACTTCTAGGAATCAATTAAACTCCCAGCTGCTTTTGAGTTCATGATAGGTACTTCAGTAATATTGCCTGAATGAAGGACTTTATACCTGCTAAACAAAATATAACGATCAGGCCTCATTTCCATTGCTGCAACTGGTTTACAAAAAATAGAAAGGAAAATAAATACTTTGAGATTCTTGGTGGTCAATCCTTGCAAGCAGAGAGGATGTCTCCTAATAATTTAAGACAGAGATTAGAGGAAATTAGAGAGAGGCTATACAACACGGATGTGAGCTATGATAAATAACTAGTTGTAAGACAAAAGCCTGCCAGTATATCTGTTGAAAGAATGAGTATGACAATATAGGGGAGAATTTCTTTTACAGATTATTTTTTCTTCCAAGCTGGTTTACAGCTGTAGTCTCTTGCTAGAACCTACAGCAGTATTGGTAGCTCAAGCAAAGTTGACTGTTTGCTGAGGAGAAAAGAGAGACGGGAATGTTCTGCAGAAGTTCTCTGCTTTTTGTTCTGACACCACTGAGTAATATTTAATACGAGGTTGGTCTTCACATCTTCAGTGTTCAGAGGGGTAGTGCCAACAGTACTGCTTTTTCATCTTCATTTTTGTAATCTGAGAATATACTTATTTAGTGTTGCAACAATAGTTTTCACTGTCAAATATTAATTAGGCTAACTATTGAATTTTTTCTCATTAGTTCTATTTTCTACTAGTTTTAACTTTTCTATTAGTTTCTATTTTTCTACTGGTCTTATTTGCAAGTGTGCAATGTTCATTTCAGAAGTTCTGTTCTCAAGTGTAGCCTCCTTCTGTGTCACTCCAGAAAGCCGTGGGGACAGTCTACATGGACTCTTAAAGACAAAGGTGGTGTGGTCTGATGCTTCTACAAGGGGTAACAGTGTCTCCCCTTCTTTATAATACGATGTGTTTACGTGTCTGGGATTCTTTAGGTGGTCCCAAGCCAGCAACAGAGAAATTACTGGCATAGCTGGGAAGGAGAGAGACAGTTTATGTCACTTCAGCAGTTCCTTTTCTGGAATGAGTCCCTGGCGTAATTCAGAGCAGCTTTGGATGCCTTGACCATCTATAACCTCATGGGGATGTTTTAGCAGCTAAGGCCAGGTGTGGTATTAAGCTGCCCAGCACATAGCTCCCCTTATTCACTTGTTCTCCCTGATTTGTCAGGGATGTGAGAGTTTGTGAGGACATATATCAGCTTCTTGTAACAACTTCAAAGGGACTGGGGCTGGCACATTTTATTTGTGCCATTTTTAAACTAGAAATAAACAGAAAAAAGTGAAAATGCATCTTGTGGGTTTGACTTTCTCTCCCCTCTTCCTTTGAGAAGTGAAACCAATGGACACACACATACTGTGAGAAGAGCAGCAAACAGCCTATAGTGACATACTGGTAAAAAAGTATAAAGACTGTATTTTTATACGTAGTTTTTAGGTGTCAAGATGATAGATATTAAAGAAGGAGTAAAAATAGGGCTTTTTGATCTAGAACAGTTTTGGTAGCTGAGGATTTATGCTGTGTTGCTATCTGCAATTATAATTTCATATTTGAATATGTGCCATTTGGCTTTCTCCTCTAAGTTTGTAGAAATGGTTGATTTGCTCAAAATGGCCAATATACCCTTTGTATGATAGCGGTTCCTTAGCTGTCATCTGTTATTATTAAGCAAGTTGGACAGTAATTTTCTGGCTCAAAAGACTCCTAGAAAAGCAGATCAAAAGACAAAAATATGCAATCACATAATGCATGAGGAAAGGAGTTTATTCTGAGCCTCAGTTGAGAGATGACTTCATCAGGCCATTATTATACCTATTAGTACCATTTCCAAATACCTGTTACTAGGGGAAGTTTTTCTGGACTAATTGTGTCTCACCTATGGACATATATGGACATTTTTTCAGGTATGGCAAGATAGGAACTGAGCTTTTGTAAAAAAAATGGCATGCACTTTGGGAATTCTAGTTTTAATTACAATTTTTGTGAAATCCTGAAAATTTGGTCCCCAGAATCTTTATCTGATAATATAATGTTTGTTTCATTTGTTACAGTAAATCTGTCTAGAGATCTGTCACTTGTGTCATATCTCACTAGGTTCTTGACAACAGAGAGCAACCTGGGAACATCAGCAGCACATGCATGGCATCTGTGATTGTCACATGTGTGTGTTGGACATACACAAGAAGTGTTGCTTGGGGCTACCTTTTACCTTTTCTGAGAAGTTTTACAAGCTTCACCTATCTGTTGTGATGCAGTAGATATAAGTGTACCCAATCTGAAAGAATTCCTCACTAAGAGGGTGCTTCTGTGTAGGGTTACTATTGTGAATCAGCTACAGGAAAAAACACGGAAATCTTCCCATATTTGAATCTTGGGGCAGATGTTGCTGTCATATTATAAAAATGATAAATTTAGTAAATTAAACATTATTTTAAAAAAAGAATAGCAAGATATCACCAGAAGGTTAACCAGTTCCAAATCTTGACTATCGACTTGCCAATCTTTGTCTTTATCCTGTAGTTCTTAATTGCAGTACTTAACAACATTCAGAGGCAAATTTTTTAACAAATAAAGATATGGTTCAGAATAAGAATGTTTCCAGGAGTGCAAAGTGTTCCCAATGTAAAAACAATACCAATTTTTATTGATTTTCATGAAAGCTGTGTTGGTAAGTTCAAGGGGAAGCAGACCGAGTGAACAGGAACAACTCTGAATCTGACTTAACTCTGAATCTGAGCCAGAATAAGTCTGCACTTTGATTATAGTAGATATGAATACCCTCAGGACATGCTAGGGGCAAGGGGAAATTTCTCAATCCTTTTGTTAAATTTACATCTACTCATGGAATCCAATTGCTCCTGGAGACATTGCTTAGGCATTGATATTTATTTCATTTTTTTTCCTGTATATCATCTGTGACAACACTTAAATAAATTTGGTAGGAGAATAGATGCTTTTTTTTTTTTTATCTTATGGTTATTCTACTAGGCTCAAATGATTAGGGAGAAAATAATTTTTAGTTATTTTTCATCAAATATCACAAACCAGTTTCAGAAAGCCCTTAAACGCAGTTATTTAAGTAGCTTTTACTATTGCATCTGCAGGCACATAGCTTTTTCCAGTGGCACAGCCATGTTTTGAAAGATTGTGAAAGTTAACTCTTGATTGAATTGCAGGGTATTTAAAAATACAATTAATACTTGTAATGAAGCCCACTCCTTTTATTAACTTTGGTTCTGACTGGGATTTAAGTGTGATAATGCTGCCAGAGAGAAAAGTTCTTGACTCTGTGTGCTTCCTCTTTATTTCTACAGAGGTAGAGAAATGGTTCAGTTACTGAAAATATCAGGACAACTGCTGACCTATAATCAGATCTTTGCTCTTCTACACATTTTTGTGGTGAAGGATTTTGTTGAATTAATTATTGCATTGAGTTCAGTCAACTGATTATAATTTATAGTTAATTTGGGCTCATATTTACAGAACTCCTATAGAAGCAATGTCTTTGTAGATATTTTTCACGAATATTATATACATGATCATCAGTAATTACTTTAATTTGTGATTCGTTAATAATACACGGCTGATCACATTACTGGAAGGGCTATCTCTTGGTTTATCTCTTGTACTCTTGAAGAAGTATACAAACAAATAAAAGCTCGTAGCTGACAGACTGTGAGCTGTATGAATGGAGAAGCAATGTTAGAGATATGAAAACAATTCTGGTCACATTATTACATTAATGCCTCTTTGAGGATTTCAGTCTGAAAAATTGTTCTGTGCTACCTTTAGTATTAAATAAATTAAAACGAAATTTTCATTTTCAAGACATAAATTTTACAAAATCTTTGGATTCACAATTTCAGAAGTTCCTGCAATGATCTGGACTCCCAAGCCACAGAAAAAAACACTCCATTTCTCCAAGCTGCTGTACAGTTTCTTGGCATCGGATGATAAACAGATATTGCTTGTTAGGAAATCTGTCTTCCTTTTTCTTTTTCTTATTTTAGATGTAATCTGGAATGAAAACCAATGCTGTCATCATACAGTCTCCAAAAATAACAAATAAAATAATATTTATAATATAACTTGGGATGTAATATTAGATTAAGCCTTTAGGCTTAGCCATATTGCAGCAAAAGATGTAATTGAAGTTTTCCAATTCCAAGAGACAATGGCAAAAAAAAAATCATTCGGGCCCCAGGCATTGTCTCCCTCCTTCCCATTTGCTCCTGGATGAGAACAGAAGTTGCTTTCTAAACTCAAGTGCTTTGAAGCCACTGTGGTACATGACAATAAGAAACTCTGAGATAGCTTTGGCTCCCCGTCTCAGATCCCTGTAGATTTAATAAACAGAGAAGGGAAGTGTGATTTCTTACTTGTCTGAGTAAAGACAGGGCATTACACTTTATAAGAGCTGGAACCAGCTGAATAGGAACTTAAAGCCAAAATGAAAAGTTTATGAACCTTCACCCTTCTCTTGTTAAGCTCGAAGACATTAACACCATCAAAACCAACCTATGGATATTGCCAGACATATTTAAAAAGAGAGAGAAGCTGATATTTGAGCCAAATGGCAATGCCCGATAAAAACTAAGCCACGCAGGCACCAATCACAATTACAGATTCTAGGAAATTGTTTCATAATCAGATATGTTAACAAAGGAAAATCAGCAGACAAAGAAAGATGTGGGCAGGCGTTAAGAAAAAGGTCAGAAGCCGAACACCTTAGGGGAGAGAACTGAGTGGAAGGCCAGATTAGGAACATGTGTGTATAGAGATTATTTGTTCTTATTCTGCCTATTTTGCATAAACTCTTCAAAAGTGTAGCTGTCTGGAACAATATATTCTGAATAATATCAATTCCTGCCTTTGACAAAAATGACTCTACGGTTCCTAAATGTTGGACAATTTTAGCTACTGTTTTAGTCATTGGGAGAATTTCAACCAGGTTGAGTGTCTGAACACCATCAATTAAAAAATTTTACTAGAACTTGATGTTAGTGGTTTTGTGTTCAAATTAAAAGAAGTTGATACAGGAACCAGTAAAATGGTATTTTCCATGTTCTGGAAAATTTTTTTTTCTGTATTCTGAATTAATGAAAATATTCACCAAATTTGTAAGCCATCTCTTTGCTGCTGCCTTGGATTCTAACACTCCTATGAAGTTTTCTAGGAGAACATTAGATATTTTAAAATGTGACAAAATATAGATTTAAACTTTGAAAATAAGGCCTGTAATTATTGATGAATAGTACTGTGTAAAAATCCTAAATACACAGTTCTTGAATAGACACACTCTGAGAATTTTATTTCAGCAAATCATGAATTAATTGTGAAATAAAGTATGTCAGCATTTGAACTGTATTTTCTTACCGATACTTAGTCTTGAAGAATGATGGAAAACTGAGGAAGCAGAAAAAGATCTTCTTAGTAAAGCAGGATTTTCTAGGAAAACCTTTCCTCTTGGCCAAAAGTTTCCAATACAACTGATTTCGTTCTTCTTTAAAGGGTAGATTGTGTTCTTATCTTCAAGTACAATTTAATGCAATCTGTCTCCAAGAAAGGTGACTTAGTTACAAGTGGGTAAATGTATCATGCAACAATATTTTGGGGAGCGAAAAAAGCCTTCAAACCAAAAAAGGCAAAAAATCATGTTCTTGCACTGTAGCAAGAACATATAATTAATAAAACTGTAGAGTAAAATAGTCACCTGCAGCCCTTAAACCAAATAAATTCTGCAGGAAAATTGCATTAAAAATTGTAATTATTTCGAGGGTACTTACTGTTCCTGCAGTTTCTTTGTTTAATGAACACATTTCAAACACTGGTGGCACACTAGAAGATTGACTTGATCTCTCTCTGCGTTGCTTTGTAGTTAATGGCAAACAGGACTTTAACCTTACCTCCCAAGCTCTGTATTACTTCTTCTTTAACTAGCCAAATAAATACCTGGTACATTTTAACTGTGCAGTTTCACATTCTTCTTTTTTCAGCAACAATGTTTAAAGAGTTTCTGTACTCAGCTGGTTTTTCCTGACCCACTCCTGCTTCTCTAGTTTTGATACAAATCTTTTTAAAGAGCTGTAGGAAAAAAAGGTGAGGGCCATGTTCAGGTTAAAACATTCCTCTGCTTTTGACTACTTTTCCAGTGCTATTCTAAATTGAAACTCGGTTCCTTAAACCAGTTCCTGTGTACCCCTACAAATGGCTGTGTCACCACAATGGACAGAATGGGGCAGGGCAGGAATGAGGGTTGTGAGCAGGGGGAGAGGGAGTTCCTTACACCGGAGTTGCCACCAAAAACCATTAGAGATTAGAGCTGTATAGCTGTCTAAAACAAAATAAAGACTTGGCACCAGAATCTTAGTTTAAAAAAGACAAGAAAAAGAAGAGAGCAGTGATTAATTCACTAGAAGTACAGTAGGGTACAAACAGCTCACGTCAATGCACCTGTTCCCCACTCTTTGGCACAGCATAAAATAAGAGATTAAATGTTTCTCTCTGTATATATATTATCTAGTGGTGCATGTGTGTGAGAACAAACATAGGCAAGCAGGCACATATGCAAGTCTCTTTTTTCCCTGCTGGCTATGGTGCTTGGCATGGGAACTGAGCAGCGAGGGCGAGAAGCAGGAAGTGGAGGTGGCTGCTAACGTGTAAGATGCTGCTGGATCTGGTCCTGTCAACACCAGTCAGAGAAGGAGACTGCTAGAAATGAGGGCTTGGGTGTGGTTTTGATTTAAGATATGTATCTGGATAATTAAACTGGGAAAAATACGTTCACTTTTGCGAATGGAACTGTGACAAGTTCTGTCAACTTTGATTCTATCTGTATAATTTTTTGAGATAGTGTTTTTAAACAGGGATATAAACTTGTAAAGTGGCCTAACCCCCTTCCCTTCTGTAGTCTGCATATTGCAAGCAGCTGCTCAGGAACACAAAGATCTCATTCTAGATTTCCCAAACTGGAATTGGAAATATTTAGATTATAATTACTTTCTTGGGTTCATATGACAACCTGATTCTATTTTTACATGAATGGCTTCCTAAAGTTTTAATTATATGTCATTTACTTAAAGTTATATTAATTTCTTTCTAAGTCTTGAAAGTAAGAGGTTGATTTGATTTGTTTTCAAGGAGCTGTTCAGTTCATTTGCTATTGTTATGAGGCATGTATCATCTCCCATTTAATTATTTTTTTTGAGCACAAAAGTTATTGTCTATTTTCTATGGTAGCTCCTATCCTTCTCATTTAGCTGCATGTGTGATTGCTGTAACCTTGTCTGGAGGACACTTTTTTAGCATCATTAGATTTGTCTAAATTTCTGTGAGGTCATGTGAATATAGTACTTTTTTTAAAAAAAAACTATTATTTATTTTAAAAAGCATTTATTTGATGAGTAATAGACTTGCCTAGATCCTGCAAGAGTCCTCATGTGAGAAACACTTCTCAGCTTGGCTCCCAGCATCCCTGGAGGCACTGGGCCTCCTTTGGAGGATGTGTCCCATGCTGGCACAGGCAGCTGCCCTGTCTGGTGGAGGCAGGCAAACAGCAGATCTTCCACAGCCACTTCTCTCCAAAACAACCAGGTGCCCACTGTGATCCCAGAGCTTGCTCAGGTTTTCTCTACCAACCACTTATCCCTTGTTACTTCCCAGTTCGGCCCTGTCTGTTCTGTGCTTTGGCAACGTGTGCCAGCAGCAATGGACATCTGCAATAACCCAGTTCTTTTCAAGCAAGGGACTGTTTCTGTGAGCTGCTGAGCCGGCGGTAACTGTGAAAGGGTGGTTAGCCGGAAAAGTTGGGTGGCAGTAAGCAGCTTTGATGGAGTAAATTGCTGGCGAGGCAACAGCTGCTTGAGGATATGTGAACCAGCCCTGGGTGTGCTGTGTAAGGGATGGAGCTGCAGATTATTTGTCCTCAGATGTTCCTTTCCACATGGGCAGGCAGTCTCATATGGGTGATGTGAAACCTATTGGTGGATTCACAAAATAAGCTTTTCTCACAGATGTTTTCCGCAGTGCAACTGTATTATTTCTGCTGCCTCCTGGCCTTAGTGAGGATTTTTCTAATTGCTTTTCCTCTTAACCAGCCCTGTACCGCTCCAGAAATTTCCTCAGCAGTTTTGCTGGATGCTTTATTCATGTTTACACTACCTATGCAGTCTCAGCATCACTGTACTATCTTATGTGAAGTCTATTAGCCCCGTTTAAACACTGTTTGTTTATTGTCGTGTTAATTATATATATACATACATACATGTTTTCAATAATATACTGGATTTTTCATGTGTCAGCTCTTTGGACAAAAAACCCCATTTGATTAGCTCTTAGTCTTTTCTTTCTTCATCAGCCACTCTTTCTTAGGTTTTTTTTTTTTGCCGATTTCCAAACTGTCAAAAAAGAAATAGGTTCCAAAGTATTACATTAAAGGCCATCAGTGTTGGGTTCAGAGTTGAACAAATGAAGACAGACTTCATAATTCCTAGATAGAGGGACAAGTAGCTGATAAATGGCTGTTATTGGGCTCTTTTTAGTCACAGAATACAGAAATATTTTTCTCTAAAAATACTGCTATTATTATTAAGCTATTTAAAAAACAGAATCTTTTCTCCCAAATTTGAGATGATACCTTCTGTTGGGTTAGCATTTTATGTGCTTATGTATGTATGAACTGCAGGTGACTATTCAATAAATCCTTTTTTCTTGTCATTAATATTAGAAGATTTCCAACTTCCACTTGCATGCTTTATTTATGATCAAGTTCTTGCAATCAGAAATGTGATCTTTAATAAAATGGAAAGTATGCATCTGATGGAAAGAAGCATTAATCATGCAGAAAGCGACCAATACACATTCATTTCTTTTTGCCATATTGTCACATTGTATTTGTATAGGTTAATCATGATTTGTAAGTAATATGTAAACATATTTTCAAAGAAGTACTTTCCTTTAATGTACTGTGAGTCCAAATAAACAGGACTATGTTGAGTTCCCTTTCCTATTCAGAGAGCAGGGCAATCCAATGTCCATTTACCTCTGCTTTGCTTTTAGGTGTTTCTATTATCTTGCATGTTGTGGACACCAAACTGATAGACCTGCAGTTCCTCAGGGGATATATTTTTGAACACCAGTACCACAGTGAAGTGATTCCAGTTTTCCATAACATTACTGAAAGTTAGACCATAGTTTTAATAATCATTAGTGCTCTCTTGAATGCATATAAATTATTGGTATTGATATTTCATTTATTTATACTATTCCATCATGTTTAAAACCTACCTCCTGCAAAACAGCTAATCTGCGAGTTTGTTAATATTCTGCTTACAGCAACTTGGGATGATTTAGCAGTAAACTCATTTTAGAATTTATTCTTTTGGGAAAGAACATTTTCAGACCACCAACCTTTCTGTTGAGTGAACTCTATTGTATTTAAATCATACAAATATGAATCACATAAATGAAAATGTATAGTGATGGCAGAGAAGAAGGTGTGAATGAAAAATGACTGAAAAGAATCTTTGAATAGTTGCATTAATTTCTACAGGATTTAGTTGCAGTTATCATTATATCCCTTTTGTGCTCGCTGTCATCAACAGCCACTAATCAGTTGAATTTCACAGTCCCACGCATAAATGTAAGATGACCTGCACAGTCCTCAGTCCCTGGCTCAATTTGGCACCGCTGTGCACAGCTGACTAGGGCTGGCCATTCAAGAAGCAGAAAAAGTGTAACAGGCTCCATCATGTCTAGGAGTGCAGCTCAGCCCTCAAATGCTGAGCAGTTTGTGTTACCTAAAGAGATGAAAAAATTCAAACAGGGCAAAGGACTGCTGTGTGTCAGTGATGGAGCAACGTCAGGCAGAGACAGAGGCTGTCAGTGCTGGATGTGTACGCCAGCCACTGGGTGGGTAAAACAGAGATATTCCCATCACCTCTTCCTCCTGCTTGTACAGTGTCTGCCACATGCACAGTATCACCTGGATGTTGGATAAAGCTGCAGAAGCATGAGGTAATCCTGGTGCTAGAGACCCTGTGGGGCTTTGGCACAGGATTGTTTTTAATGTGCTGAGCACAATCAACACTAAAGTCTTCTGAGTATGGCCAGAATTTCAGGCACAGCTACGCCTGAAAGCTTAGGCACCCAAGGGTTTTGATGGCTGGGAGATTCTGTGTGGGTGTGGGCAATGGAGGATCTACATTTTTAACTTGGGTGCCTACAATGGCAACTGGAGCCTACATTCACCTGACTCCCAGCCTTAGCCAGCAGTGAGTTGGAACATTGTTTCTATGGGAAAAGCCCTGAAGACAAGATCCTTAATAGCTGTAAATTGGCATAGCACCACTGAGTGTATTGAAGTTCACATAATTTACACTACAAGAGGATTTGGCCTCTGTCTTTAGTTGGAGTCTTCTGTAGTCAAATCAGCAAGTAGTGGGTATTAAGGCAGCTCACTATGGAGGAGCCATATTCATCCATGTTCTCTCTCTGAGAGGTCTTACTCATGCTCTTTCATGATTTCTGTAGCTGTAACAATGCAGAATAGAGGTTACTGTCACTTTGAAAATAAGTTCGTTTTTTAGACTGAGGCAACACAAAAGAAATTTTGGCTGATGAGGTTCCTCTCTGGGCTGGGGGCTGTCCATATGTGGGAGGAGGGGTTTGCAAAGCTATGCGGCTGGCCAGGGAGAATATCTGTGCGATCTAAGGATCTTTATCTTCCTTTCTTTTTATTTCTCCCTTCCTCACATTTATTTTCTTCGTCTCTTCCTTTCTTGCTTAGTTATTAAAGAAGTGTTCCTATTTAGCAGCCTAGTCAAGATCCATTCAGGACTGTCACTTGCTGAAATATAGAACTGCAGACATAGCAGGACAAGTAGAGCTTTTGAAAAACTGATGGTTGAAAGGCTCTATTTGGCAGT